AATTTGTACAAATTAATCGACAGCTGGATCAAGCCATGAAACAGATTCCTGGCAGTGTCTACAGCTAAGCTTCGCTGTCGCACACTCATGCACATAACACACCAGGTTATCCAAAGTTAAATTAAATCTAAAGTTGGAAATTCCTCAGGTTATTACTCCACATCAGAAATATACAACGGAACGCTGTTGGCTTTCTTCCTGGAGGGGGTAACAATTGACGTTGTGCTGCTTCCTCGTTTCTTTCGTTGTTCGTGGGCGAAGGTGAACAATCCGCGACGTTTTCCTGCAAATTAACTGGAACATTTCACAGACGAGTGCTTGAACGACCGAATCTCACCAAAGTTTTCAGCGTCTTCTATTGTCATCGGAAGTGGGGCGCCAAGAGTTTCTGGTAGAAAGAATGTGCAGGTGCCCGCAGTGAGCGCCATGAGACCCATGATGAGAAGTGGGAGAATTTTCATGTAATCACCCTGAACAATTGGTAACTATGGAATTCGGTAGCCACAAGAGATAAGTCGAGTAAAATCTATGGTATTTCTCGCTAAAACCTTGTAAAGGATCCTGTTTCAGCTGCAGAGATTACGCTAGCTTAGATTTGTGTCAATGCGCTCAAAGTGGATATGGAGGGATTTCTGGCTCTCGTAAGAGAAATAGAAGCTAGGACCAAATAGCATTTTCGCTGATTAGCCAGTGAGAATGAAGACAAGTGTAGCAACAGCATGACGTGCGGTTCTTCGAATTGTTGGACTTCTCCACTGCTTTGGACGGTTTCAAAACATCATTGCGACGATCACTGGCGCAGTTAGGAAGAATATGCAAAATAATGATAAATATAAAAAAAAGCCCGGCACCAATTCCCCTTGACTGCCCCAATCATCCGAAATCTGACTAGCTCCGTGAACGGAACTGACTAAAAATTTGGCTCTTGAGGCAGTTTGAGCGCCTTAATACGAATACTACATCCGCTCGGCACGAAACTTCTTGGAGCCCGCGCCAAAATACCCTCAATCTTGATATTGGAGGAGGCTAAAAAAAAGGAACTGCACTAGTACTGATCCTTATCCCTTTCCGCAATAATCGTTTCTCAAACTATTTCTTTCTGATTCTCGTGGGAATCAAAGAAGTGGTACTCATCGGAATGACAAATGCTCCCATTGAAGAGTAAGAGCAGAGCCACTGACCAGTTTAACGATGTGAGGTGCAAGTAGAAGACCAGAACCAGCCACCATACTGCTCATGCCCATTCCTATCGCTCGTACTACTGAAAAAACTAGGTTCTGTGTACGATTTACCAGCATTTCTGAATGATAGCGACCTGCTGGAGTAAGCTAGCCCAGTCAAAAGATATAAATAACTGCGAATCCGGAACCAACACCAAATTTTCCAACAAACGAAGCAGAGGCAACAAGCCATGGGTAATCTTCAATGCAACAATTATAAGTAGTAATATAAGTGATGAAAGTACAAAAAATAAAACACAAAAAAATAAAACACGGTTACGTTTACAGTCCACAATTTAGCGCTGCAGTGTCCACGATTGTTGGGAACGCGAACCCTTACAGAAGGGGCCAAAAATGTCACTCTTTTCATTGACCTTCGAGGCGCTATAAGTTACACTTTTTTGGATTCTGATCGAATATCTTTTACCACCATATTGAAGAGCATATCAAATACTATCATGACACTCCGCCACAGCCTTCTGGACGAGCGCCATCGAGAGATTCTGGCACGCGACCGCGATGTGGTGCCTGAGATCAGCGAGATAGTCGATTTCTCCGCCACCGTAGACCACCCTATTGAACTCCGAACCGGGTAATTGAGGGGATTCAGGTCAGGTGACCTACTTGGATATTCCATCTTCTTTAGGTACTCAGCCCCCTTCCATTCCAAGTAGGCGAGAGTTTCTCCAACGCCCTTCGATTCCACGTGGTGGCACCCAATGCTGTAGCAGTACAAAGTTTCCAAGAAGGCGACGACATGTGAGGAGGATATTCTTCACGAGTTGCTCGATGTAACCGCCAGCGCTCACCTTCAGTCCGGGGTCCACGAAGAAAATATTGGTCTTTCCATTCCAGGTACGTCCGGTCCATACCATCAACCCGCGCCTTGGCGACTGCGGTGAAGATGGCGACGTTGTCGGAGCTGCTCGATGTTGGAGGTCTTCCAGATCGAGAGTACTGGTCTCCAGGTAGCTATCCATGGGTGACTCCACACTAGAAGTTTCGCAGCTGTTTGGAGGTGACATGAATTCCAAAGGTCTTCTCCAGTCAGGCTGCGACTGGAGATGACTTCATATTTTGGTGTACATGAAGGTGATGGGCGAGAGCCAGCTCCTGCTTATAGAGGAACATCTTGGGTATCTTCCGCCCTGGTACTCGTATCCACGTCCTCTGTCTGGGCAGCGAAAACTTTGCTGATATGTGACTCGGTCGAAGTGACTTTTTTTGCCCCCCCCGTAGATGAGTAGAGTGCCCATTAGAGCGTCGGATTCTGATCCCTAGGTGTGGTCGTTTTCATTGCAGACGCTGGGGCGTGTCAGAAGGGCTGAGTTTGACCTGGGACAAGCTCAATTTTCACTGATGTCGCTTGTCGGCTGGAGAAAGAGCTGGCGTCGCGCCAAGCTCTGCCAACCTGACACGCCCTAGCGTCTGCAACGAAGACATCTGCACATACGCTTCGGCGCAGGGCCAGCATATTTCCATAAATAGCCTCTCACTCCAAAGTGGTAAGCTGATCACTCTAAAGTAGTAACTACTGGCAGAAATGAGTGCCGAGCAAAAACGTGCGCACACAGGAGTGCCTACATGACGCACAGATAGCAGCAGTAGTTGACCGCTGAAGCAGAGCCGTCTACAGTATGGTCACGAAGGAGCCTAGCAGGCACAAAAAAACTCGATGCACTCTCGCCATTCTATGTCCAAACTGGCCGCTGTCTACCACTGCACGCTCACAACCAAGTTCGCGAACAGTTTTATTTATACCCTTCGACGTTGAAATATGGACTGCATGTGAGAATGACTGGGCTTTCTAGTAGGAATTGGTCCGCAAAGAGGCTTCACTTGACGGCATGACCATCGCAGACACGCATCCGATCCCACACACGATCATGGTCGAGGCCAGCGTCCACCTGAAATAGCTGGGAGTTGTGACACTTAAACGACCACAGATTTCCAGTGATAATACCCTATAAATCATACTAGACACTTTTGAAGGAAAAACAACTTCTCTAGCGCTAGACTAACCTTCTTCCTATTGTCTGCAATAGTGGCCAAACAATAAAATAAGCTGGAAGTTCGACTGCTCCATTTATTATAAACGACCAGTAGTCATCAACTGGCAGATTAGAGATGTTCAGAGTCAGTCCATTATAAATTATAGCGTTCATTACCCTGTATATAAACTCTTCTAGGATGGCCTATTCAGACTGTGAATAGAATCAGTTGTTTAGGTCGACCCGAAGAACAGGAGACGCGACAAAGCAGCTACGTAATGAACGAGAGTGCCACGTGACTCGTTGATGAAGACAAATGCAAACGGGAACATTAGAAGGGCCGCTAGAAAAAGCCTTCTATCCTCATAAAATAAAAGAGTGGCCCGACTGGGTGTCATCGCTCAGCCAGGGGTTCCGTTCATGGTGAACCCCGAGCGACAGCGGAGCTTCAATTCCGTACAGCTTGTTTGCATATGGTTTTTCGCTTAATGGCAGACTTGAGAGGCGGAGCCCCTGCAAAAGGGAGGCGCCACTGGAGCAACATTGCGCCTTAGCACTCTTACCTCGCAACTTAGCCGCCGAGGAATCGCTACAAGGTTGTTCAGTGCGGACTACACTACGTTTCCTAGCAATCTTTGAATTTCCATGGGTCGTCGCGAACCGAGCCTTTCATAGAGCATCGCGACGACATCTGAGAATCGAAAACATGTGCGGGGAAAGGAATTGTGTGTCACAGAGAGAATCCCTCAATCAGTAGAAAAGTTGTGAAACAGGAGCGCAAAGAGGCAAGGTTTCTCGGACCCCACCATAATCTACTGTTGTCACGGTGCTCGCTTGCATACTTTCTCGTCCACCTTGTCTGGTCTTTCGCCCGAAAACCAACCGATGTTCTTTTCCCGCATTGAGAAATGAGGACCTTATTTGGGCCTTCAACGATTTCTCCTGCGTATACCTTCGAGGGCGAGTCAACCAACCGCACACTTCTGATTCTCAACTCCGCTCAACAGATTTCACCCATAAGAGGAGGGACAAGAATAAATTTTTATAAATAAATTGAGGCCGACCACGTGATCCGGAGACTCACCAGATATATGTGACCAGCAAGTGTTTTCTTCCGCAGGTTTGGCGTCTTGAAAAGGTCTGTTACATTATGGCTGCTTCCTTCTTCTTCTGTCCCGATATCATGACTCTCTCTCAGCTGAAACTCCTCTGTTTTTCAGAGTGACGGAGGTTTTTGAAAGGTGGAGGATGGCGTAAAACTTTTATTATCTCAGAATGTTAAATGTTTATTATCTCTTAAAGGCAAAGCCCGCGATCATTCGCCATCACAGATAGTGGATTAGGAGTTCGCATATAGACGACAAGGTCTGAGTAACTCGATAGTGAAGAAAAGCAGAAAAAAACATGCCAACTGCCCTAGATAGAACCCCATTTCGATCCCAGTTTGTACGTGCCCAATAACTCCATCTCCAACACTACGCCTCTCATCCGCACAGCTGATTCCCCGATAGGGACTCTAGAAGACAAGAAGGAGACAGGGACCGTGCAAGTAACGATTTTCATGCTTTTTCGTCCGGCAGTTACATTTTTCACTGAAAGGCGGGCCTTGAGGGCGGAGTCTGGAGGCGGAGTCACTGGAAAAAAGGAGGCGTCACTGAACCTATATTGCGCTATAGCGCCCCGCCCCTCCCCTGCAATTTTTGCCGCGAAATCGGTACAAGGTTGTCCGTCGCAGACCACGTCACATTCCTTACGCCATATTTTCAGCTTCTATACCTGAGTTTCTGCTTCATTTTCAGCTTCTATACGCAGACCGAGCCTCTAATGTGGTCAACTGTGTGTCAAAAGTGTTGAGAAATAGTAGACTAGCTTCTCGCTGACATCACCATGACCTCCTTCCTGCCTAGTTTGAAGACAGTGCTAATTTAGTTAGGCTGCGTTTATACTTTGCGGCAGCGTAGCGCTTCCAGCGTACGCCAGCGGCAGTGCCGGGGAGAGGATGCATATCGATCTAGCGTTCCCAGCGTCACCAGCGTAACGCTAGCGTACGTTTCGCCAGCGTTTTGCTGGCGTTTGCAGCGGCAGGGGAGTAGAGACTATGTGGCCGTAAGAGACGCGCAATCGATGTGTATTGTAGAGACTATGTGGCCGTCAGAGACGCGCAATCGATGTGTATTGTAGAGACTGAGGGCGAGTGAGAGACGCGCAATCGATGTGTTTTGTACCCTCCAGCTCTCCCATAGTCTCTACTCCCCTGCCGCTGCAAACGCTAGCAAAACGCTGGTGAAACGCTGGCTACGCTGGAACGCTAGATCGATATGCATCCTCTCCCCGGCACTGCCGCTGGCGTACGCTGGAAGCGCTACGCTGCCGCAAAGTATAAACGCAGCCTTAGGCATATGAGGGAGTTTAAACCTGGTGGAAAGGGAGGCTGGTTGTGTGAGCGGGTTTGTTTGGGGGTCATTCAGAGCAAAGGGAATGAACAGGGCTTTAGCGAGATGTCGTCCGCCTCAAACCGTTGCGAAGCAGTAAAGCCTTTCCAGCCAGTAGTCTTCGTCTGTATTCTAACCTTTGTAGCAAAGAGGGGAACATTCTGTCATTGCTGGCGATCAATCAAATAAGTGACACTGGGGTTATGGCAGCTACAGGTGATACTTTTGCGATCTGGGTGCCGTCGCTAGACGTAGAATAAGCCCGCCTGCGGCTGCATTTTTAACCAACGGTGGCTGCGTTACGGTAGGAAAGAACCAATGGCAGAAACTTTGAAGGCGGGCTCATCCCGGCCTCCCGCTACTGCTTTGCCAGATCGCGACACTACCAACTGTAACTGATCTGTCAATTAAAATCAAATGGGAGAGTGGATGGCCATTTTGTTCCTTAGACCATCCGTTTGGTATTTTTACACTGTCACTACACCACTAACCTCATTTTAAACCGACAGGAAAATTAGCGCTCAAAATTCTATAAACTTGAGCAGGAGCATCTTTTGACCAAGAACTTGATAGACCAGTTAGTGCATTGATTAAGTTAGAGCTTTGCACAATAGAAGGGTCTCCTTCTATAGCGAAAAAGGTTTTGATTTGTTGAGAATCCGCACGAAATCAAATTACGGGTTCTATCCGAAGTTCATCCACGTTATAAGGAGGGGATGCAAGCTATCAATCTCCAAAATACAATTTTTTCTAAACAAACTAATTTATGGGACACTCACGGCTTCTAGTAGCTCTTCTGTATTTACTTCATCTTTCTTCCCATTCATCTTGGCGATACGCTGTAGCTGAACATTGGCCTCATCCCATTTGCCCACTGAGACGAGCCAAGCGCGGTGATTCGGGCAAGAAACTGAAACGAAAGGAAACTGGATATGCTCAAGAAAATATACTATATTTTCCAGCCTTCCAGAACTTTAGTAGAATCTTCAAGCTGAATTATCTCTCTAACTATATGAATCTCTTGCCTTCAGATGTAACCTAAGACAGAAATCCCGCCGATTGTAATCTATTCTCACAAGCAGCTTATTTTCATTAAATACACAGAAAAAAGTTTGGAACCAGATTCGTGTGGGAGTATGAGAACATTGGCTTCCTCTACTACTGGGCAATTTGCTAAAATTCAACTTTTTTGAACTTTGACATCCTGTTCAATAGTAGAGTGGGTTCGTGTTGAGAGGGATTAAACCGATACCCTTCCCGATTGGGAGGCTCCGAAAGAAAAGTGCGTTTCAAATGCACTTGCATCTCAGGAAAAGGTGGTGAATAATGGCCATCACAGATTCTCATCAACTTCGGGAGGTCCAAAATTTCGAATTTGCCGAAATGGACCGATGAACTGGGTTGGAGGTGAGACGGAGAGGAAGTGTCCTAGTGTTCTTTGCAACCCAGTGCCTCGTGTCATACGTGGCACTTTCATCTGGATGTCAAGGCTAAGGCACAGTTCTCGTAGGTTATCTAATGTAGCGCGACTTTTAGGCAGGTTGGACAATCTACAAAGCCTGGAATTATTTCGGGGCAGATCTAAATATTACTTCTCCTGCCAGACCTGATACTTATTCTGCCTGCTTGCATCTCTCTGTATCTGATGTACTGTATGATCTGATGTGTATATCTCTCTGTATGCTATACTGATCAGGGATTGGTGAGAGAGAACTGAATATTTCCCATATACTATGCACCCTTCCACTTTTCCGCAAGGTTTCATGACTAAATTCCGTTTCTCTGTCTCAGTATGCATTTCTATACTGATTTACTCAAGTCGAAGTTTGTTCTAGAAACTAAGATCGAAGCAGACTGTTCAGATCATGGAACTGAAGTTTCATCATACACTTTCCTGGCATGATCCCTAGCTAGAACCGTAGATACGGCGGTCGCAAGCACGCAGACACTTCACTTAGCAAGAGACCAGTGCATCAGAGTGCATCAAAGCTTCTTCGAAGTTTGTTAGCATAAAGGATGAAAACTTTGCCGTTGGTCAATCGGTCCGTGGAATGCGGCACGCGTTCTCCTTCATACAGAATTGTAGTAGCTTATTGAATGCAGTAACTTGTGGGAGCCTGCAGATAAACATCTCAGTTCTTATCCTCCCAGACGAATCTGTTACCAATGTACCGCCCCGAAGGGGGTAGAGGGCTCGGTTAGCGTGGGTGTGACACTACCCGGGATTTGAACCAAGGACCGCATGAGTGGAAGCCCGTCACTTGTCACTACACCACCTCCGCCTAGCATGATCGGGATATTTCTTCAAAGAATAGTAAGCGTGTTAAATATGCACCAGAAAATCCACAAGCAGAGCTTCTTTTTCCTCGATCTGCTGTTTCTCTTCTGCCAGGAATATAACATAAGTCCTAACCGGCAAAAAAACTCAATGTCAATCAGTCCATCTTTTAGACGCGCCACGCATCCTACTTCCGTTCATTTGTGCTAGTGGTTTGAACGCGATTTGGCTTATACCATGACTGCGGTGTGAGAACAAGTCCATTGGACCTGCTCATGCTCATAGCGTCTTTACTCAGTAAGTGACTTCAGAAGACGGGGCCTGATTGGTGCGGACAAGAGCCGATCCAGGATTTCACTTCGGATCGTGAGCGTGGTAAGCGCTTCGCTTGCCACTGCACCACCTCATGACACATAATATTCAAAATCCACAAACCCCTTGAGGTAGAACCCAGTATTGTTCTGCTTGGACTGGTCAAAAGTACCGCTTATCTTTCACTTTTTCCCTCTCCGGTTTTATCTGTCTCTTCGAATCCCTTTTTCTTATTTTACTCCTATTTCCCACAGCAAATAACATAAAAATCGTTCAACGAAAATTTGACTAGACCCAGCTGACGTGAGAATATCATTGCCCCATAGGAAGAACAGAGACTGAATGCCTATAGACCAACTCACAAGTAATAGCAGAAAAGCACAGCAAACGGAGCGTTGCAGAAGAATGTCAGCTGACGCCACCTGAAATGCCCTATAGAGAGTAAAGGAGAGAATGGGATTATCTTTCAATAAGACCTCCTGATAAACATGGCAACAACGCCAAGTAAAGCCATAGCAGCCCCAAAGAAAAGCGAGATCATGAGTCCAGAGAAGATTCGTCCTGATTTGCCCATAAACTCCATGCCTTCAAGATCACGCTAATCTTGCAGTAGGCACATGCTATTAAAGAAATATGGGCAGCCCGGCGACGCGGGAGGGGCATTTTGCACTTTCGCTACTTCACCAGTTGCAGTTTAAAGTTCTCACGCTGGTGAATCCCGCAACTTCTTGTCGAGCTGGAGCAAGCTCGTTGAGCCACCATGGTAAAACCTGCAAGCTCATGATAGCTAAACACGTCGATGGAAAGTTGCAAAAGTGCAAAATGCCCCCCCCCCCATCGCCTTACTACTCGAAAATATGAACACAGTGTCGACTTACATATAATGAATGGGATCTGGAACAATGCGGGAAAAGGCAGTCCTGTGAGAAAGCGAAGAACTATGAAGGATTCGATGTTCTGGAAGGGAGTCTGCTGAGAAGGTGATCTCATCCAATTGAAATGTTAAGACCCATAATTCGCGACTCGAGCGATTCTGTCGCGCGATTCCTAGTCCGGTCGGAGATTCGCGTTACTGAATCGCTCGACTCTCGTTTTCTGAACACGGTCTTACTGAACGTGAAGTCTGCGGCCGCCATCTTCTACCCACCTGTACAAATGCATTTGCCGTCCCGAAAATAACCAAGGAAGCGAGGATAATGAAGAAGCTGCGACGCCGACCAGATCTGTAATGGCTCTCAAGAGGGCTATGCGGAGTGTGAAACTGTGGACGTAAAGTGAAAGAACTTCCAATTCCGGTGGAACTTACTTGTCAGCGATGTATCCAAACAGGAAAGTTCCCGATAAAGCTCCCCACATAGAATGAGGTTGTGGAGATTTCTACCCAATGTTGGCGATCGCACACCAAGTTGAACTGAAATGGAGTGAGATTTTGTCTCCCAAAGGCACAATTTCTGAAATCCTTGGTAGGTAAACGATCGATAATTGATTGGATAAACCTGGACCATTGAGTTCATGAACCGATCTACAAACGTAGGTTACTGAGCTCAAGATCTAATCAAGCACTCAATTCCCGATTGCAACCTGAAAAGCTGGAGGTGCAGAGACCTAAAGAATCAGGGCCTGGATTTTTGTAGCTATACTCAGGAGATCACCAAGAACAACTTAAAACATCCCCTCCCCCAATGTCCCCCTGAAAGCTCCCCTGATATGAGTCACATGAAATTGCAAAAAAATCGCAATCTTCATATCATCCGTTCTCTGCCACCAGAAAGGGCTCCAGGGCACATCGTTGTTGGGAAATCCCCAACAGGAGGGTCGTATTTGGCCGCCAGGAGAGAGGGGGGTCGTATTTGGGCTGAGAAAAATTTATTTTGATAGTTGATTTTTCTCGCTTCACGGACGTTGTAAAAGGGGGGGGGGTCGTACTTGCTCATTGTTGGGAGGGGTGGGGGTCGTACGGGCGCGACCAAAATTCCCAACCAATGATGTGCCCTGATGAGCTCCTACGCCCGATGAGCGGCAGTTCTGCCGTTTTGAGCAACTGGGTAGGCTAAACCTACAGCGATGCAGGAACAAAAACAATCCGTGGGGAGAGTCGACCCATTTATCTTATTGGGAAATGTGCTTCTAAAATGGCACAATGTCCTACTAGATGGGAGCGCTTGTCCATTATGGCCCATTTCCGACGACTTCTTTCCGAAAGGGGCACATAAATCAAACCTGTAGTACCCTATTCGAGAGTCCCTCCTGACCCTCCTCTTCGACGCAGTGCTCTGACGTTGCGCTCCTTTTTCATGTTACGCTCTGGTTTTACGTTAAAATAGATTGGCGATCTCATCAATTTAGAGCCAAGGACTACCGCTCGAATACCTATTCCCTTACTATTAGATTGCTCTACCTGGATGTTAAACCTCCCGTCCCCTTCACGATACATTGACATTTCGGCTCCCAGGTCTGCTGATATCTCGATTGCAGTTTGATTGACAGAACACTAAAAGAGGGAGGTCCTTTCAATCAAGTTCGTGGAACTAAATGATTCGAACAATTGACGTGATATGACTTCTCTACTTTTTGGGATCCTGTAACATCACAGTAACTCAATAGAAAACTTCTATATAAATCATTCCTCACTTCGGTTACGAGACTATCCAGATACGTGGTGTTATCAAATTCCCATCCTGACTGACACGGAACCAAGGTGATTTCATCCCTGAAAATAAAGTTCGTTGACAAGGAGGACGCTATTTTCGGCATAGTTTCATTTCACGGCAATGGTAAATCAAATAAAATTCTTTCGCAAACCTTCAGAAGCCGAGCTGCAGGTAGTGTATCGCTATTAAGCACTGCATATCATCGCTGGGAATCCTCAATGGTGGGGTGGGGAGGAGGGTAGGGGAGGAGATTGTAGTATTTGATTTGACACTATGTGTGAAGGGATGAGGTGGAGGTGGTGTGGTGGCAATAGCACGCTAACCGTCCGCGCAGTCTGGGTTCAAATCCCTGGTCGACTCCCGTCTGGGCTAACCAAGCACTACCCTCCGGGGGACGGTGAACTTGTTACAGATTGGTCCGGGAAGGTAAGAACACTGACTTGCACATCAGCATGCATAGGAAGCTCTACGAGTGCTATAATACATACCTCTCTGAATAGAACACCTTTTCGACAATGGACGTTTGGAGGGCATGTATTACGTAAAAGTAGCGCATTGAAACTGTCTCTGGGTCAGAAACGAGTACAAGGCGCAAACTGCGCTGGGACTACTCGACGCTAAACGAACAATTTCTGTCTAATTCAACATGAACTTCCGCACAGAAAATGTTCCATCCTATAGATGGATTTTCCTGCAATTCAGTAAGAGCAGCTGGTTTTTAGTGTAGCTCGAATTTCCCAGTCAAATCTCCACTGAAAATACTAGGTGAACTGAAAAGCCTTTTGATAAATAGCAGTGGCGTGTCTCAGAAATTCTCTTCCTCCAGATATGCTCCTTATTTTGCAAATGATCACGTGTGGAGAAAATGGAGGAAGTTCATTCAGTCGCAAAAGAATAAAAATGAGCTCTCGGTTAAGAAAGTTCCCATCGGGTTCCCACGGGAGATTATTCGCGAAATAAGCATAGCAATCAGAATAGTGCAATGCTATCCATAAACTCCTGTTCAGCTATTTACAGCCCCATTCTCTGCTTTCCAAAGGGTATCTTAAGAAAACGTTATGGTCCTTCAGAGGATTAGCGGCTTGCACTGCCCTATAACTTTTCGGGATAATCTGCTACAGCTTGGGAAGACTTGAACCGCACGCGGTGCAACTATGACATGTCAGAGGAGCAGCAGATCACACAATTCATTGCAGCTCGCTGATAGCGATGAAGGAGGGAGCATTCGCGCCGTGATCCCACTTTTTCCTAATGGTTGCGCAGGCATAGCAGTTTTCCCTATTGTGGTGACGTGCACTGCCAGAAAATATAGGCTATCGAGAAATTTCGAGTCCCTCTTAGATTCTTTCATTGTCGACAGTCAATGTTATGAGTAGAGCGAGCAGGGCACATCGTGCGCTTCAGGGAAATTTTTGCAAAATAAGACCCAGCAGACTTTCCTCTCACCACCTCCACCTACCTGAACCAAAACCATCTTCCTGAATCCTTCCACTTCCCACCCGTTTTCCAGTGTTTTTCTTTACAGAGATTCCTTCTTTTTTTCCCCCAGAGCTGCGAAACACCAAGGGCCTGCAGGGCAGGAAAAACTGAGGAAACTCGACTACCAGAAACATCTCTCACAGAAGCAAGTGGGACCCCTCCCTGCTCCCTTCAGTGACCAACCGCTCAGGATAACACACATGTGCCTGAATCGGTCCAAAATAGCAACAGAAAAATTCTCAGCAGGCCGAATTCGCCCTCCTTGTTGAGGATTTTCCGGCAGTGATGTGCTTTGATAGCGAGCTGTATGGATCTGCACGAGCTTTATAATTCATTAGAATAAAAAAAGGTGCCTGAAATTTACCTGAAGTTACTAATAGGTGACGAAGTGAATGATCGGTAGAAGTCAACCTGCGTTTGATTGTATTGGAAACATTTCAGAACATCCTAAATGACAATAAAAAATATCCAAAATTTTAAACCACTAAAAAGTAGGTAACTATGAACCGTGTCAGCATCCTCGGGTTTGAGGTCATCACGACCAGGAGGAAGCCGACACTGATGAGGTGGAGATCCGACTACGAACGGCTGATTGAATGCAGAAAAAGCAGAAGGTAGGCTTGCCGGAAGACATATGATGAAGAAGAACAGTATTTGGTACGGTCCAAAATCTCCAACCTGAATTGAAAAAAGTTTCTCGAACTTTTTTTTGAGGGATTTTTTTCTAAAGCCTGGTCCTATGTAAATAAGTTGGTTAATAATGAATTAGTCGTACTATCTCATTAAAAAACCCATTTCTAGCACTCGATGGGGAACTCTCTAGACTCTAATGAAGTTCTGGGTGGTTTTTAATTCAGTTTGGGTAATCGTCAAAAGGCACGGTCCGTGATAAACTTAGATATTCTTGAAGATAGCACGACAGTTAGCACGAGAAATCCCTATGAGTTGTTGGATTGATACGCCTGGCAGCACGGAATTCCTCCCCCCTAAGCAGGCATTGCGAGGCGCCTTTTCCATAGAAGGAGCCCTTATAGCGAACCAGGAAGGTGAAGCATACCGACCGGACGCCCACCACAAATGGACGACCATACCTAACACTGGTATTGCTTCATTTGCTGAGTAAAATATGAAGTGAAAGATTGATATGAAGCGGCCGCGGTGCTGCATGCATATATACACTCCTTATCCCTGAGCCAGAGTAGGCGTGGCATTTGAACATGGCACGGAACTGGTTACTCGTGGAATATTCCAGTCTGGGACAACTGTCATCTTGTTCTGTGTTGGACAGAGACACGACAACAAAGATGAAAATATCTCACCAGAAGCATAGACACCTTCAGGTTAAGTTGAAACATGCGGCCACGCCTACCCGATCTCAGGGATTTCGAGTATAAGTAGATACGTGTAGCTGTATCTACCGTAGCGGTTATAGGCAACATGCCTACAGAAAACTCGTCCAAAATTGCTTCCTGTGTCAAGAGCGACAGCTTTTTCTCTCATGTCTTTGACCATTCACTCAGTTTTTTCGCCATCCCTCCACTATATAGCCCCCTGTTAGCACTTTAAACAGAGGACCAACTTATAGTGCCATATACCTTTAAACGTTTAAAGTGACCTGGACCCGGCCGCTTGGGATGTTCCTCATTCAAGGCTCGTAACTACACAGGAGCCGCAAGCATAAGAGTTGACTGCATGGACGCCCATTAGACACATTCCGCCAAAGTCGCTCGCCCTTGTCCTCGTAGTGGTGCCATTGTGTTCTATCGCCGGCCTTCTTCCAAGCTTCCTACCGCGTCTTCGCTTAGCGGTGTAAATGCAACACTGATATTGCCTGGAGTTGTTTTAGAAGGATAATTGCTGTCTAACTCCCCAGTTGGGCAAAAGTCAGACCCCAAAACGTGAGGTGTTGGTTCGAGTCCTACCTAATGTCGGGTCATAATGTCTGACTTTTCCGTGACTCAGCACTCTTGTGATGACTACCATTACTTTTGCTCACATACGATCTTGCTCCATGTAACGAAGCAAATTTGGTTTGGAACAGAGGATCCTGTAACGTTCCCTCCAACATCCGTCATTCAACGAATCCAGCGTCCATGACAACCTCTTTTATGAGGACATTAATGTCTCATTAATCAGTTCTGGACTTAGGCTTTGCGGCTCTCGTTACCTTCTACCGTACTAAATACGACTTTTAATCATGCACTCGGCTACGCTGACCTTTGTTTAGAGCCAGAACTTTGTACTCGCAAGTGTATACCCTTCTGTTAACATTCATATCACGAGCTGCTGGGATACATACCGATCAACCATATGGACTTTTGCTTTGTCTCTGGACATCGTTCTTTTGATTTATTTCATTTCCTAATTAATTCGCATCTGTTCTTATAGCCAGTTGTTTTGATTAAGACTCTTCGGTATTATCGAAGAGACCAGGCAAAGTTGAAATTAAAGTTCAACTTAGATTCTTAATGGCTGAAATTTCAAATTAACAACAACGGCAGTAGTTATCACCCCTTCTTTTCACTCCTTCGAATTCACGCCAGATTTTCATTGAAATTTTTACGACGGGAATTTCGGTGGAACTTTTGTCAGGGGTGCGCGAAAGTCGGGAGTCCGCCGACAAAGTGGCCAATAATAAGGGCACATCATAGCTTTTTCTTCTTGTTCTTCTTCTTCTTCTTCTTCTTCTTCTTCTTCTTCTTCTCCCTAGCGTTAGTCCCGCGCCGTCGCAGGGTCCGCTGTTCGTTAGACGTCGCCACTTGTTCCGATCCACTGCATCTTCTGCCGTGGCTTTCACTTCAGTGAGGTCCTTCTTGATGACGTCCCTCCATTTTCTTTGGGGCTCCTCGTGGTCGCTTGCCCTCTACTTCGAATTCCAATGCCTTCCTTATTGGTGGTTCAGGCCTCCTCAGTACGTGCCCATACCATCGCAGTCGCTGCTCTCGTGCCTTCAGCTGGATCGGAGCACTGTGTAACCGCCCTGACGTCTTCATTTCTGACTCTGTCGAGTCGTGTCCAACCGCAGGCCCATCTCAGCATCCTCATTTCAGCTGAGTGGAGCTGCCTTTCATGGTTCTTGCAGATAGGCCAGCACTCACTGCCGTAGAACATTGTAGGCCTTACCACCGGTCTTACCACAAGGGCAAATCCTAGCGTTGTGGCAAACTTGTGTCATCCGCCATCCCTTCAAAATCTCCCCTTCGGTAACTCCCCATTCACAGTCAATCTACGATCTTATCAAGTATTACATAATCCTCAAAATTTCCGGAAATTCTCCCTAAGTTTGGGTTTCGAGCGTCGGGAATAGAACACGCATGTAACAGAAGAAACCAACACTTGGGAAAAAATGCTCTCTAGACCAAGTGCGACCGAACGCCTCCCCCGCTCCCTTCCAAGAGCTAATAACGATCTCCTGGGGTTCCACAACGGATAATGTGCCCAGATCACAAGCCAGTTTTGGCGCGCCTAGGGCACACAAAGGAAGATGCAAGATTCATTAGATTTGGAATTCATGATCGTATACAAAGGGATAAATTACTATTTAGGATGGGTTCTTCCCAAATGCACCAGCGGATGAAAATCGTTCCCGGAATTAAGTGACAGTCTGTGCTTTGGTCCTTTGACGCGACTATTCAAAAGGCACTGCGTCACCATGTGGCGTGCCTCATTGGCTTAGTGGCAGAGCGTCTGTCTTGTAAACAGAAGGTCGCTGGTTCGATTCCAGCATGGGGCAATCGTTTTGCCCTTCAACAGCTCTGATGAATTTCAACTGCAGATCTGAATTTATAGGCACTGCAGATTCTACTAGCACGTGCCTCATTGGCTCAGGGGCAGAGCGTCTGTCTAGTAAACAGAAGGTCGCTGGTTCGATTCCAGCATGAGGCATCCCTTTTGACCAACGGCCTAGATGTTCCGCTTGTTCCTGTGAGCCGAAAGCAGAGAGCAGCTGTGTTTGGTTTTGGATGGAAACTAGACGACAAGGCGTCGTGCATGAA